TGGGGCGCGCACCGGCCCGCGGCCGCCCCCCGCGCGTCCCCAGCGCAGAGCCCGGCGCGGCCCGGTACCTGTGAGGACGCCGACGCGGATCTGGTGGTCGTGGTTCGTCAGGATCATCCCCTCCGACGCCATGTTCGCGGCGGCGGGGCCGGAGGAGCGGGGCGGGGCGGGGCCGGACGGGGGCGGGGCCAGGGCTACGACGGCGGCGGGAGGGCGCGCGAGCGCAGGCAGCGCCAATCCAGCGCCGAGAAGGCAGCGCGAGCCGCGGGATCGCTGACTGCAGGGGCTGGCAGCTCAATTCCCAAGACTGCGGAGAGGGAAAAGACAGAAAGCAAGGATGGTAATGATCCCTGCTCTTGGCTGGCACGAAACCACAGACCGAACTAGGTTGGAAAAGACGTCAGTGATCGTCAGCTGTGAGCAGCCTTGTCGAGTAGAGCCACGTCCAGCGCTCCCTCAGACACCTCTGGGACGGTGGCTGCACCGCCTCCCTGGGCAGCCCCTTGCCGTGTCCAGTCTCCGTTCCTGTGAGAAATCTCGTCCTGACACCCAGCCCGGGCCTCCCCTGGCTACAGGCTGTGTGCCCGTGTCCTGTCCCTGCCCGGGAGAAGAGGCCGCCCCGCTCCTGGCCGCCGCCTCCGTTCAGGCGGTTGTGGAGAGCCAGGAGGTCACCCCGAGCCCCCTGTTCTCCAGGCTACAGATACACACATACCATTTTTCCCCCACCAATTTCCTCAGCAGGGTGTTTTTTCTACCTCTCCAGGCCTCTTCTCTCACCTGTGAGCCCTTTACTGAGACTAAAGCTGTTTTTACACGGACAAAGCAACAGTTGTTTTGGCAAAGCAACTTACCGTCATCTTTTTTTGTCTTACTGATGTTACATTGGATACTCTCAGGAAGCAAATATTTAAACTCATTTTGAATGAACATGTAGGCAAATGTCTTCCACATTTATTAACACCATCATCAACTACAAATGGTAACCCATTGTCAAAATTCAAGTCCCCCAATTTCAACAGATCTTTATATTTTTGTGTATTCCTCTTGCATTTTCAATGTGCCTTACTAATAGCAGACTCTGTATTTGTCTCCTTTTGACTGCCTACTAACAAGCAGTTATTGAAAGCATTTGTAATTTGCATGTACATAAATGAACCACTTCAGTTTTCTCCTTAGCATATCACCTTCTAGATGAACGACTAGCGCCAAAAAGAAAAAAAAAGCAAAAAAAAAAGAAAGAAATGGCTGAAGAAATATCCTCTGCTGTCTCTGGGAAAGTCGCGCTAGTAGCACTTTGGTGGGGTGGTGCACCAGCACACGCTATCAGTATTTCTGTATTGGCACAGCAGTTGCAGTGTGTGCAGCCATAGAGACTGAGAATGCAGGCTCCAGGGATCTCTGGTTATGCAATGGTATAATACAACATATGTGGGTGGGTGTAAGCCTGAACCCAAAACAGCATGGTTACTGAAGATATACTGCATCGCTGGTGCTCATACTGCCGTTCCCTCACGGGTTCAGACACTATTTGTTGAATGTTCTGCTGTAGACAAGGCAAAAAGATTTTTTTTTTTTTGCAAATGTATCTGAAATTATCTAAAGTGCGAGCAAATAGCTTGACATTTTGTAGTTCCTGCAGAGGATTCTCACACCCTAAAAACAGTATTGTTTATTCAGAGCATCTCAGTCTCCCTGTGTAGCCTGTTGATTTGTTGCTCTCGTGGATGGTAAGAAGGAGGAGCAAAATTCAGATTTCACTGGCAGCATTAGGTTTGTTATTTCTGGACTTATAAGTGCCTACTAGAGAGATTTGTATGAGATTTTTTTTTTTGTATAGAAATGTAGTAGATGATTGTATTAAAGCAATAAAGTAAGTTAACAAATTTTTAAAAGACTGAGTAAAGAAGAAGCTGAAATTGATAACAGGGGGTTTGTTACTGTGATATGAAAAGCCTTGTAAACTAGGTGGTAGATCCATGACATTCCAAGAGAAGGTTGTGAATGGGTGATGTCCTGCAGTCAAATTTGTGACACAGTAAGAAAACAAGTGTGTGTGATGCAGAAACCTTTTACTGCAGGGACACATTCCAGGTAATGTGCTAGCAATCCACACTGGAGTTCACACTGACTATCCAGAGAAAAACAAGTTTTCCTCATCAAAGTCAATATAAAGCTGATAGTCACATTTTTCCCTGGTCATGGCAGAGTTGAAGTATAACTCAATTCAGCAACCTCTCAGCAAATTTTTTACATTATTTTGTCTGCCAGCTGGTAATTATCAGTGTCTCTCCTTTGACTGAAGCACTGCCTTTTCACCAAGCTGGCTCTGCCATGCCTGCTTGTTCCATGTGGTCTACTGGGAAACAGAGTGGCTTTCTCAGTTTATCTTGAGCACCACTGAATTACATCTTTTACTCATTTGGGGAAAACAGTTAGACAGGAAGCTCCTGTACTAACTTTTGTAGTAACCTGTAGAAATGTTTGTTTTTTGTTTTTTTTTAATGAGCCTTCAGTATGATTACAAGAAGATAGCAGTTTGTTCTCTTCATTACAGTGTGGGAAAGGATGATTTAAACTCTCATTGAAAGTGATCAGACACTTCATATTTAGAATAAGTATTCAGTATAATTTCTATAATTTTGTTGTCATGTAGGTCTGATTCTTTTTTCAGTGACTCCTTAACTATAATTTCTCTATTCTGTTTTGTTTAGAACTGGTAGGATGTTTGGATCAGCAGTGGGACATGGATCTTCAACTGTCTGCCATTGGTGCAGATCCTGCTGAAGACATTAAATAGCTGGTTTAATAAATCATTAATCAAATTTAAAACATTTTAATTTGTGCCACTGGTGCAAATCCAAGTAAGGTCAAGAGACTAGCTGGCTCAATGCTTAAGTGATAGAAAACAAAGTTGTACCTCCAGCTTATTCATGTGAGTCTGTAAAAAGTCAGGAAACTAAGGCTGAGACCTTGAAATAAAAAGATTTTCCAATTCAGCTATTGTTTTAAAGTCAGTCTATTACAGGTTATTACTTTATGATATGTTTAAATACTCTGTGTTGATCTATAAATTTTGAAAAAGAAGAGTATAAACATTTTATGTGTAGCCACTGATATAGCACAATATTCACCACTCTAGAATAAGGTACAAGAGGTGATTTCTCCAAACAATCCATTTTCTCGGACAAGCATCTAGGGAAAATACAGAAGATGCCCCATATTTTAGCTATGCAGGGTTAGAAAACCATCCAAATGTCTTAATGGCCTATACCATAGTCCATCCTTGCCACCTGAACATTGCCAGAGGCCTCCTGAGAATCTTTTCTGGGCTTACACCTCCAGTCATGAGTAGGAACCCAATTTCAGTGATTGCTCTAACTATTAGTGGGAAGGAAAATGTGTTGTGCTTACAGTAAAACTTAATTACTCGTTGCATTGCACCAATATTTGCAAGGTCAAATTTGTCTATTAAGCAAATAACCTATGTCTGTGAGATTACAAGATAAGAGAAACTGTAACTCTTCCACTTGAAAACAAACAAAATCACAATGTAGCTGATTCTTGTTTGCAATATGGGCATTTGCAGCAATGACAGGCATGTGGAAAACTCCAAATGGAAAGTGGCCTTGAGAGACATCCATGCATACTCTCTCCCTTCCTGCCTCCTCCCACTCAGCTGCCTACTGTGGTGCAACTTTTGAAATGGCACCATATGCTCTAGGATACAACCTCACATATATTCTTAGGAACAGCAACATCTGGAAGGGTGATATTTACTGAGCTTATATGGTATGACTTTGATGGCTGTGCTAGTGACAGCCTTTTGAGCTGCCTCCAATTCAAACCTATTGCAGCCTTTCTTCTCTTACTCTCATACCTGGTCAGACCAAAAAAGCTCTTCCTTTCCCATCACCCTTGTATTGATAAAGGTTATAGCAAAACCCTGTATTCTCATTATTTAATGCACAAAGTAGGTCTATCCAGCTTGTCTTTACCTGATATTACTGATGTCTTTTCTTTTTCAGATGTTACTGTTTTGCTGCTCAGTTGAATAAATGTTTCTGTTTCCATGAATCTCTGGAAAAGAATGTTCTGTAGATCTTTATCCAGGACATGGTGGACCAGTGTGGTTCTTTGCATTATGCAGACACACAAATTTTTGTCCAGACTTTCCCAGACAGAATTCCTAGGCAGGGAAGTTCCAGATGGAAGTATATCCTCAGCATGGTAATAAGGTTTGAATCCTTCTCTAAGGAGCAGTGGAGGTCCTGCAGATCCTGTGATAAGGATTATCTTTTGATTCATCATCTTTACCTTTTTGTCCACCATCCATTGAGCTGGTCCTACTATCTTGGTCCCACCTTGAAAATGATGCACCAGACATTTTGCTGTAGTTATTCTAATATGACAAAGTAGGCTTTTCTTGAATAGCACTACACTAAAAAGGGTTTCCTTTCTTTTAGAATAATTTGGAAATTGGGCCAGCCAAAGGCAATCTTGATGCTTCCAGGTGCCAATTCTCCTGGGTCACTGCAGCCCTTACTGCAGTGTACAACCCAGCTGAGAGCAGAACCAAAGCCTTTGGGATAGGTTTGCGATATGTGTGACATCTGACTACAAATGCAGTGCAGTTGATTCACTACTAGTATGGGTGCCTGACAAAAATAAATGAATCTTAGCGTGACTCTACGAGTGGTGTTGACACATTCAATTGTCTGTGCTTCATTTGCTGCAAAACAGTAGCTATTTTAGAAAAGCATTTGATGAGTTTAGCATACACAAAGAGTAGACAGATTTAAAAGACATCTTACTGGAACATTCTATTTTTGAGATTTCACTTTGACAAAACTGCCTCATTAAGGACTTGGATATGAAAAGCAGGAAAATGCTTTTGGATCTCATGTAAACTAAATTCAGAATTCTGATGAGCTGAATCAGTTCTTTCCATATATTATTTTCCTTTATCTGTATTTCTCCTTGTTTCTTTGTAAGACATGACATAAAACCTTAAGGTATCTAGATCTTGAGTTATGAACAAGATGACTCCAAACTGTATGAAATAAGGAAGAAAGAAGAAAGAGAAGGCATTTTGAACCCAAATTAAATGATAATATTTTGGAATGAACTAACCACAAATGGTCATCACATGTTGTGGCCAAAAGTGAAAAAATGACACTTGCTTCTGCAGGAAACCTTGCTGTGTAATTTGTTTTGACTTAGTAGAAGCATTGAAACTACTAGAACAGATCCTCTAAGGAAGAAAAGGATTATGTATGGCAAAGGGCAGCTGCAGCCTCCTGGCAGCTTGGCTGAAGGCAAATTCACCAACATGCATTTTTGATATTGGGTTTCAGCTCCAGCAATGTGACAGTGACTTTCAGAGGGTCTGTCCACCTGCAGACATATGCAACTATATCAACAAATAAAATTCAGACAAAAAAGCAAGTGGCCATTCTTACAAATCCAGTCTTGTAAATCCTGATTTAGGTCATTTTTGTCATATTTATGGTATCAAGTGGTTGGCTTGTAGTCAAATTGCATACAATGGGATACGTGAGACTCCTTGTACCCACAACTGCCTTTGTTCTTTGATAAATGAGTCTTAGAAAGAACACCCATTTTTCTTGTGTTAACCCCATGATTGGTGTGCATCATTCTCACCAGGTCACTCTGCACCTTTGTGGGTTTGTTTTCCAGAAAAATTCTTGGCCCAGCTGTGGCTCAAGCCTTTACCTTCTTTGAAGCCTGTACCAAAGTACTGTTGATATGTTTAAGTTGCCACCCATGTGACTACAAAATTACCAAGTGATACAAATGACACAGTACATTTGCAAGCCATTTCATGTAGTCATATTAAATGCAAAAAGATTTTAATATGCATCCTCTATGTATTATTAGGGTTTTATATATTTTTGGTTTAGACTGGGCTAAAAATAGTTGAATACACTTTGTAGTAGATCAATTAGTCTTGCTCTAGAACTCTTTCTTACCTCAGCTTCATCTCAGATGCTTCTTGAACTTCCAATATAGTCAGACTGTTGGTATCAGTAGACTACTTCCTCCACAGCTAATCAAAGTTTCAGCAGAAAAACACAGAGAGAAAATAAGCTTTCTGGTAAAAAAAAACCTTTCTTTTTTGTCTTTGCATTTCCATGACAGTCTTTAATGGAAAGTCTTCCATACATTCTTTAGTCCTGTATGTACATACCTTCCATCTGTCCCTCTGCACAGCTTGTTTGAATTGCAGGTGTAATAGCCATTGCTTGAGTATCCAGGTATATCACCATCAGTGTATTTATCCTGATTAGCCACTATTACTCTGGTTTTACAGAGGGGAGGGTAACAGAGCTGCTGGCTGCATCACAACCAGCTGATGGATGCTGTGGTATTATGGTTTCCTGATTAAGGACCTGTCACAGTCTCCTTGGCTCCTGCTGAAGCAACATATGGACATATACTTGGGTTTCAAATCAGTAGAAAGACAAGCCATTCAGCTGGGACCTGAGAGTTCAAAAGTGTTTCAGCTCTCCAGTCAAAGAGTGGCTGAAATCTGGATTTAAATCTACAGTCCAAGTGTGCCAGGGAGCAAGCTGTCAGCTGCTCCGGATGTGCAAGGCTTCCAGGTCCTTCTTGTTTACAGAGTTTGTACTTTGAGTAAGTAAATAATTATTCTTAAGCCAGAAGGTGAATACCCAAGCATGACTGACTATTCAGGGTATTAAAGAACTCACTTGGGAAAAGAAAGACCTGGGTTCTAATCACAATTTTAGTCAACATTTAATCTAAAACTGGAACAGAGACTAGAAGTAAAGTGTTTCTGTTTTAAGATCCTTGCTTCTAAGAGAACCATGTTCATGAACTAAACAATTTTCTTCTCTCTCCCCCAGTTAACTGAAATTCTTCCTGTTCCTTTTGAAAATGTTAGCCTCTCAGGTTCTAGTGTTGCTGTATCTAAGAGATGGGATGCATTGCTGCTTCATCCTATTTCACTCTTCTTGCCCCCCACACCCTCTCTCCACACCTGATTCTCACTCCTCTCTGGCACTGCACGCATCAGACTCCTCTGTCAGCCAAGGCATTTCACTCCTATGGCAAAAATCTGTGCAGGATTTAATATGGTCTGGCAGAAAACTCACTCACAGATGGGTCTGAGGAGTGCCAGAGATAGCATAGCAATCAGTGTGAATGGGAGGAAGGGACCAATGAAACTTGGAAAGGGGAAACGATCTTCCTCTTTGGTTTCTTTTATTGGTTTGAAACACTTCAGGGAATGATGTCCTGAAACAGACCAATTATGGGAAAAAGGTGCTATTTCTGACTACACTCAAAGTTTGCATGGTCAAGCTCTTGTTCCTTTTAGCCAGTTTTATTAGAAACATTGGTATTTTACCACTTCATACTAAACTTGTCTCATATTTCATTGGAATATTTAAAACTTTTGTCTATTTTTCAGTGGCTGTAGCTGCTTATCAGATTTGAAACAGAGGCATCACTTGAAATTATATTTTAAATCATGTAACTTATTCATCTATAAACAGGAGTTTCAAGAAGTTAATGACATGTATATTTACCTTTACTGTATAATTCTGATGTATCCATTTTTGCTTGCATGTTTTGAAATGTTTGGAAATTACTGAGATTTAGCATCTGTCTTTGAAAGATAAAGAAACTTAATCAAAACTACATGTGCCAGAAATCTTCCATCCCAGTTCAGTAGCTGTTTAGGCAAGCTGATTCTTAAAACCCCTTAGAGAAGGCAATACATTGGTACTAGGAGGACCTTTCTGAATGTTTGCCATAGTCTCATACTAAATCCAGAATATGTCACTGTACCAGCTACCAAAAAGGAAACAAACATTATCTTTTTTTTTAAGTATTATCTCCAGCTGAAACCAGAATGATATTTTACTAAATTGTCTCTCTAAAATCAAAGAAACTACAATGTAATTGTAAATTTCTATTTTAGCTAAAAATAATTTATTTTCAGTCTTACATACTGACAAATAATGTTGTTTTTTTTTTTTTTTAAGTTCTCAACAGCAAAAAGCTCAGCCTGTCTTTAGATGTTGGTCCTGCAGTTTCCAGATGCTCACTCTGTAGCAGTGTAGCTCATTTCTGCCAGGTACCTATCTCTCTGATAAAAGAATCCAAGAATCCCAACACCCATCAATCCAGCAGATTAGTCTCCTAGAGCAAGAATTTGTTTCAGCCATTTACACAGTACTGTCCATTTTATTGAACATGATATTCCCAAGCTACATTTAGTACAGAATTTTCCAGTTCTTTATATGAGATGTATTAACTTCGCTTTGGAGATTATTTGAGTATTGTTTTTATGGGAAACCAACAGGAAAACTTTCTGCTGATACAGTGGAATTTTATCCTTTCCACCTGCTCTTTCCACCAGTAAGTAAAGCCAGTTGACCTAGAACTTGAAATTCAGTATTTAAATATAGCGAAGTAGTTCCTATTTATTTTATTTAGGATCCCACCTCACTATTTGAAAATACACTTTTCTTAACTGTACCTGAGTGCAATTCTTTCTTGAACTTAATTTTGGAAGAGATTGTTTACCATTAATTTTTAAATACCTGCTGAGTATTTCAGGAGAATATCTTCATATCTCTGTAACTCTTCTGTCTTCAGTGATCAGACTGCAGTATAACTGTTAAAAACTGCTAAGTATAGAAAAATATCTCTTTAGTAGGTGAGACCTCTGAAGGATTTTCATCTTTATTTTGTAGAAACAAATTGGATATTTTTTTGCTTTTACTGTTACATTGCTAGGAGTAAGGGAGCTAGTCTTTCAAGTAGAAAACAATCCTGGTATTTCCTCACTGTATCATCAGTTACACAAATGAGATGCCTTTACAGATGCCCGCATAAGAGATCTTCTAAAATATGCTCTGTATATTGATACGAAGTGTAATTAATGCTAGAATTCAAGTACAGTTGTATAAGCTATTGTGTTATCTGACACTACAGGTTCTGGTAAGGGCAAATACTATATGCAGTCCTGAGTTCTGGATATTATTGAGTTTTGGATATCAGTACGTTTTGGAATTGCAGATAGGTTTTTGCTGTCAATTCATATACATTCACATCAATTCATCAATTGGTGTTAAATTCATACAAAACTGTTGTTGACTGTGGAATGGGTTTTGTAATGACAGATTGAAATTTGAAACAGTTTGAAAGTACGTTTGTGCCCTTCATTGCCTAGGTCTTTTAGGGATTCTCGAAGTCTTGACAGATATTGTCAGTGACCCTTTTGCAGAGTGCAGGGTGGAACATACTGCCTTAGGGTGCGAGGTGATACTGCAGCCAGGCTGCCTGATTACAGCAATAACTCACATGTAGTCTAGACTATGTAAAATAACATTTCCTTTTTCATGTCTGACAAATTTCACTGGTATCCAACTCAGCATGGAGTTAAATTGGATGTTATTGCTGCTTTTTATAGCTGTGTTTCCTCGTCCTCTCTTTTGCGCTGGCTCTAGCAACTAAATGTACATAGGGAGCATCAAAGTCACCAAATTGCACCAATGGAGTAATCTTTTTTTTTTTATTTGGTAGTTCAATATTCTGTTGTATCAATGAGTTGTTATAACTAATGATGGCAGTAATTAGAAAAGAATAGAAAGAAGGAAAATATGTTGGAGGGGAAGAACAGGCTTGTCCCCTTCATTGGCAGCATAATGTGAAACTTTACCTCTAAGAAACCTTATGACAGTGGTGTTATTTTTAAATGAAGAACTGTGAGAGAATTATTGCTGTAATATGAAACTGCACTCTATGTCCTCTCTAACGTAGAGCTCCTATGACCCTTCTTGGTTTAATCTCTTTCTCTTCTAATTGTCCACTTTTCTTTTGTTGTGGGAGTTCTAATTTACTCCTAGCATGACTTGCAAGCTGTAACTCCCTTTTCACTCCACAGACCCTATAAATGGAGGTTTTTTGCAAGTGCTTGGCCTCTTTACTCTCCCTTAATTCAAATTCTAAAATGAGATTCTTTACACCTTTGAACAGAACAGTCACCATCTGCCTTCCTAAATCAGTAAGGCTCACTTCAGTGAACTAGAAATCTGTACTCCACTCTTACAACTCTTGGAACTATAGAATGTTCAAAGGCATCTCTGGACATCATCTGGTCCAATTTTCCTGTTCAAAACAAGGTCAGCTAGGGGAGGTCGCTTGGGGATGTATCCTGTCAGATTTCAAACATCTCCAAGGATGGAGACTCCTCAATCTCCCAGGGCAGCCTCTTCCATATTCTCAGTCAAACTCACAATAAAACATCTTTTTCTTATGTTTAATCATCCTGTACTTCAATTTGTGTACTTGTCCTTTCACTGGGTACCACTGAGAAGAGTCTGGCTCCATCTTCCTCTATATGAGAGATGTTTCATCCCCTTAATGATCTTCACGGCATTGTGCTGGACTCTTTCCAGCATGTTCATGTCTGTCTTGTAGAGCGGACACAGCACTCCAGGTGAGTCTCACCAATGACAAGCAGAGGGAAAGGATCACCTCTTCAATCTGCTGGCAGTGCTCTGCCCTGTCCAGCCCAGGATGCTGTTGCCTCTCTTTGCTGCAAGGGTGTATTGCTATGTTCATCTAGCTGTGCCTCAGCTCTCCCAGGTGTTTTTCTGCCAAGCTGCTTTCCAGCCCCTCAGCTCCCACCCTGTCCTGGTACCTGTAATTAAATCTGTAATTAAAAGATGAGGAAAAATACTTAACAATTAAGAGTCTTTTCCTTCTTGTTCTTTGGGTCATTGAAAGAGAGTTACGAGCATGATGATGATACTCTGGAGGCAAACATACTTCTGTAAATACTCACAAGTGAGAAAAGCAGGCTAAGAGCAGCAGTTAGCTGTTTTGTGCCTCAGAATGTAGCCATTTCTGACAAAAATTATTCTCTAAATGTATTCAGGGATATATTATACATAAGTTCTGGAGGCTTTTTAGGCAAGAGTGTTTTCTACCTAATAAAGTATTCAATAGCACTTTGTATTTCTTTAGGTGGCAAATAGATATAAATATGCTTGGTTTCAAAGGGAAAGCATGTCTGATATGTATGTACTGTATAGGATCAGGAACACTTTCATGAATAATCCAACGGATCCCAACACAGCAATTCATATAAATGAATGCTGTTCTGTTTTAGAGAAGACAGCACAGAGATGGCAGCCATGGTTATTTAATCACAAATTGTGTGATATTTTATTACATTCCCTGCTCCTGGAAACTGAATCTCAGTTTGACTTCCAGCATGGGAAAAAATTGAGAAATTGACATGACATTTTAAAAATACAATCAAAAGGAAAAATAATTCAATTTTTCCTTCAAGGTGCCTAAACCAAACTCTTTCTCATATTTTGATTTCTTAGTTTTGAAATGTTCAGACAGGTACTACTGGACTCAGATAGAAGGGTCACCTGTGCCCAGTTCTGTGGGGCCACATGCAGCAGCCCTCTGTGGCCAGATTGTCTGGTCCTGAGCAGCACTACAGGAGTGCTCTAACTATTGTGCTGTCTGATGTAGAGTGTTCTTTGTGTTAGGCATTGGCACACCATTTTCAGAGGTAGACTGGGGCTTTTCAGACTTGCTGGGGATCACACAGTTGTTTGAGGGGAATTCTCCCACCACAGTGACTGGCAGAGTAACTGGTCTCAGGCTTGGTGTACACTAATGGTCAAGATTATGATTACAGCTCTAAGGAAGGGAAATCTACGACTAGTGCTCAAAGGAGGTTGCTAGTATAATTTAAGGCTAAAAGCAAAAGAAACTCATTGTTTCTTAAAGGTGAATTTATCATTTTCACAAGATTGTTGGCAGATCTTTTATTCTTACATTTTCTTCCTTCTTTTGCATTGCATGTCTGTACATGATAGTGCATGGCAGGTTTTTTCAGCTATGAAACTCAAGAGTCACCATTCTGATGGATCTCAAACAAAGGACCTAGTGTGGGCCAACTGAGAACTAAATCCATCTTGCTTCTTTCAGATGGGTAAAAGAAATTCTACATCAGCAATTCATTCTTACTTTTTAACACAAGGTCTCAAGAGGTTGTGTGAACTTTACTTACAGAGGTTTCATCTACCTTTCAGTGGTACATACAGGTGGTAAAACAACTTTAGGAAAATGAGGCAGAATTTTTCATAGAATTATTGGAATGTACATGTCCTCCATCTCCAAAATGGGGAAGTTGTATAAAATTTCATTTTACAGTGGAGGAAACTGGGAAGGGAAAGTTCAAGTGATTTATCCAGTGTCATAGAGACAAATAACTTTGGAAGTGGCTGAATAAGTGCAAAACTCTTCTGTTCCATTTTCTTTCCTATGGACAGTTTTTACAGATAATAGAACTATTCCATAGTTATTAAAGAAAAAGGGGTTTTAAATATGCAGTACAGTCCTAAGAGAAGAGGCTTCCCAAATCAGAGCTTGAATTGAATGGATTTGGGTAATACAGGCAAATCAAGGTATTGATTATATGTCCACAAAGTTGTAGGGTATCCTTTCCCTCCAATGTTACAACACAGATTAGTTGTTTCTGACTATTTTTGCTCATCTTTAGAGCAGAGGCAAATGGTAGAATGTCAGTATCATTCCTTCATCCATTCACATAGCACTATAAAAGAAAGCAAAGCTAGTTCCAAGCACTTCAATATTTTTATAAGAGGTTTTGGGTTTTAGGTATTCTAGTTCTTCTCCATCGGACTAATTAGCTTTCAAATTTTCCTGGAAAATTATGCCCACTAGTTAACATTCCAAAGTTTTGAAACCACAAACTAATTAGACTAATGGCATTTTTCATTTGTTTCTAGGATTATGGAGAACTAGAAGTGAGGAAACAGGCTATATGATTTGCATGTCCCAAAGGAGGAGTTAGGGAACCGTGGAAAGGGACTTACGATACAATTGCTGTGGGGTAAGGGAGCCTGTGATCTGCTTGAAAGTAGAAAGAGAAGAACCAGGAGAGGAGTACAGGACTGAGAATGAGAGAGAACAAAGTCATGAGGATGGTATGGAGATGTTACAGTCAAAAAGTCAAAAGACTGAGCAAGAGAAAAAAAATCATGACTGAACACAGGCATGGAGGGAGGGGTGAGGGCATGGGAAAGCAGTGAAAGTGGAGAATTCTGCTGTTGCCTTCTGGCAACAAGGTAATGCCAGAAAGTAATATGGAAGGGAAGCAGACAAAAGAAGGAAAATGTCTGAAACTGCAGAAGTGGTTGAAGACAGGGGAATCTTACCATAACAGTAATTTTGACTTTGGCTCTGCGAGTTGTAAATAACATATAGCTTCTCTGAGTGGAAGTACATTACTTCTTATTGATGGCATAGAGAATCTGCTTCTACAGTTGCTGCAGCAATATATGAGAAGCATTTTTTTAAGTTATCCCTTTTCTTTGTTATGCTCTTCTGCTTTTTCACATTTACAATTTTCCAGATGCAGGCATCCCTTTGACACAGTAAAGGAAAAAAGACATACACAAGGATTTATCCCTCACTGATTCCTTCAAGAATTTTGATGGATTTTTCTTTCTGAAGAAAAACCCTTGTTAGAGCATTTTAGATGGAAGTGTATGAATGATTTTTAGTAGTGATTAAACCATGCCTGTCAGCTATAAAAAGCTTTTTTTAACTGATGTAGCATGGGTCATTTTGCCTATAATTTGAAGACAGAAACAGATTATACTACCCATTTAGTGCTTTTTTTCATCTTTAGAAGAGAAATCTGCAACAAGTCTCCGGTATGGAAGACTGTTTGCTATACAAAGAAGCAAAGTCAGAGGATGTTTGACATTGCAAACTAATTTTGCAATGTCAAACATCTAAGACATAAAATTAAAACCTAGATCCTGGATCCGAAACAAGTAATTATAAAACATGAATGATTTCCATGAAAGGAACACCTGAAACAACTAGCCGTGTTCAAAGTGGAGATTTTCAGAAGAGCCTTGTTCCCACACGGAGCATGAGTTTTGGTGGTTAATGATGTGCCTGACTCACAGCTCTGTGTTCAGTAGCCAGCAGCCTGCTCACTCCCAGGGCCCCTAAACAGCACATTCATTGCCCGGGCAGCTCGCATCAGAGCCAGCGGCCACTGCAGAGATGAGCTTCCTACTCCCTCTAGTGCAGCAATTGTGCACTCAGGCACTGCCTGCTACAGCTTTTTAAAAGGTTCAGTGATATGAAAAAAGTTAAAGAGTAACAATTTTTGTGATAGAAATTGAATCAGTTGGTGTGTTGATTTACAAAGAATACTGTCAAAAGAACAAAATTTTTGTCAACTGATTTGACTGACGTGGTCTTTAAAGGTGCTTATGGGCTTAAGACGAGGAGCTACCCTAGCTAAAACCAGACCTGAATAGTAATGAGGGGCTGGAAGTTAGGAGCTGTGTTTCTCTGATGCCATAACTGGGGAATTGCAAGTCAGATGCAGATATCTCAATCTCCTGTACAGAAAGTAGAGGAGAGGCCAAAGCTGCAGCAGCTGGACTGAGGAGCTGCATGCAAGCAGTAAATATGAATTTGGATTTTTAAGAAGGCACAAATATATGCCCAGAGTTAGCTCCTGTCTCTCACTTCCCATGCTGGAATCACTTGTGTAAGAGGAGCTGGAGCAATTTGTATGTAGATAAATAAATCTGCCCTCCTAGTTGTTTCTGGACCATGAAAGAATAGGGTGGTAAATTAAAATATCTTCTGAAAGATGATAAAAGTGCCTGGTAGTCGCTCTAGATTCCCACCCCATTCAGCCTTTTGAACGAGACTCTGCTCTCTGCTAGTGCTAGTATCAATACCTTCCCTTTCCATAGCACCTGCAGTCCTAAAAAGGGCCCAGAATTGGTGGTATGACACAGTGGGCTGCAGAAAAGCCAAGAGAGCGCTCAGAAAACCATTTCCTTTTTTTCTGTTCTGGCAGTACATTTTCTGTGGACAAAAATTTGTATGGGAGAGGTATTACAGAAAGTACTGATACCCTTGAACTGCCAGAAATATTTTACATTTCAAATTGGATCAATGTTATTATATTCTTTCCCTTCCTCAGGTTATTGCTTGTATGCCTCTTTATAATTCTCCTCCAATCAAATATTTTTTCTACTCCCAATCAAACTCCTGTCATCTCCCTGGCATCTGGTGGCTGTCTATTGTGGACACAGCAGGGACAGACAGATCTTTTTTGTCATTAGCTGTTACCTTAAGGGCAATTACATTTGCTTTCCCTTCTATTTTTAAATTATCCTTTGTCAGGGTGTTTTTGTAATTTATGTACTTAATCCCTTCTTAGAGATCTACTTCTGAGTGCTTAGTATCATATGAGACATTTTAAACATATATTCTGATCTCCAGCAAAGATCACACATCAAGCATTGGCAACATAGATGTTAAAGATGCTTTGCTTGACTGCTCTCTCCCCAGCTACTGTCAGTAAAAGGGACTCCTTTACTCCATTCTCCCTTACAGTAAATCTTTTATTACCTGAGGCACCTTTTGTGTCACCTCTAAGAACGTGCCCTGGGGCGTGGGGGGATATGACTCTCAAAGGTCCCTGTGCATAGCACTTCACAGGGATTCACTACCATGAGGGACACAAGGTGAGATGGGCAATCTTACCTTGTCATCAGACATGGATTTCGGACAGCAAAACAAAACAAAACAAAATTTTAAAAAAAGGAAGTTTTTTTAGTTATAATGTTGTGGTGATCATAAATGCTATTACTTTGATATCAAAAAGTAGACCATAAATGCTATTACATTGGTATTATTTTGGTCTTTTTACATTGTCACTATTTTCCCACTATCTAGCCAGATATTAACAAGCCACTGAGAGTTCAAAACATATGAGGTAGAAGTTATTTTGTTACTTTCTTAAAAAATCCTTTCCCTCAACTAAACAAGGCACAGTATATATTCTGCACTTCTTTTTTCCAAGTTCATGCACCAGCTAGTGGTTAGCATAAGGTTGTTCTAACATTTGAATTCTTTGCACAGTATGTGTCACCTGGCTTAGCCTGTAAATTATGAAATGTACACTGTTTAGATGGTTTGTCCTGAGCTGGTCCCACCCCAGTACAACACAAGCAATAACTCTGGGCTGTTCTGAAGATCTCTTATATGTTTTCTTTCTTGCCACTCTCATTTCCTGACAGGCTCATCCCTCTTGGGTGTTTTTTAAGGCCTGAGAAAAACTTGGAAGTCTCAAAAAAGTTCCGTACAATGTCACTCATTTTCTTGTGTCTCCATTGTAGACTGTGGCCAGATGTTTAAAATTGAAAGGATAGCATACATCTACAAGTTCCAGGTGTCCCCAGAAACCTCAGGTACTTAACATCTCAAAATCTGGGCCATGATTTCTATATTTATGAGATTCAAATTCTCTGAGTTTTTAACAAAACTAAATTGTGTTTTGGTGCCATCAGAATCCACTGTGATAAAGTGAGATCTGATAAAGCACTAGAAAGTTTTCTCATTGTGTATAAATATTTATGTATGTAAATAGGTGTATGGTTAATTATAACTGACAAGAACAGACTGACACAAACTCAGATCCTCAGATCCCCATGGACAGATACAAGTTGCTTGTTGAAGTGTTGTGGCATATCTCATGGGCTGTGTTCTGAATCACTGATTAAATGCTGCAGCATGTGGATAGCTGAAATGCCAGTGACTCTTGAGCAGGGAGGGAGGAAGGAATGTGCACTGAATAAGAACACAGAGAGATCATCTGGTTTATATTTCTTGATTTTTCAAAAACTGGACAAGAGCTGAAAGGTTTCCCTTTATGTTTTACTAAAGTTTGAGTAGAAACCTTTACTGAAGACTGCACAGACTGTCTAGCTCACATATGCATACAGAATAGAATCCCTTATGCAGGAAAAGGTTAGAAAAGGATTTAATAAGAAGACAGGACAAGCTGCACTTGACAGGCACAGGGCAGTTTGAAAACAACCCTCAAATCTGACTCTTTCAGCACAGGCAGAATCCCTGAATCCGCTTAGGTATTTGGAAAATATTTGCATATAGCTGACACTTTCGAAAGAGGCTTGCAGGTTTTTTTCTTTCTGTTTTTCTTTTTTTTTATTTTTTATTTTCATACCTTTTTATACTGCATGGGGTTGGGGTTGGAGTGTTTTTTTGGTTTTTTGGTTTTTTTTTTTGCAGGTAAGCTTATGCCTCTTCTGCCAGATGCATCAAAAGAAAAACTCCATTGTACTTCTGCTTTTGCCTTTTAATAGATTTACAATGTTAGTTGAAGAGAAAAGAACTGTTTAGATTAAATTTACAGTGCTGTTGAAAATCAGAAATGTCTATTTAATTGATATATATATCTATTAAATAAAAATATGAGTAAATGTGTAATAATGTGTAGCTAAAAATACAATTCTTCTGCATGACGTTTTTGGGACATAGAGGAGGGGTATTTCCTTTCAATAATTCAGCTTATTTTTTAGCATGGCATCATGCACTGCTTATGCATACCTTGAAACAGTAATATTTTTAAGTGTGCTCTTTTTTGTGGTTTTTTTTTGTCATTTCATGATGAAAAGCTACATAGTTTCAAATGTGCCAGTACAACAACAACGTACTACCATCATTTTACATGTTTTCTGCATGACATTCCTTTACTGGATGAAGGCTGTTAGATTGGAATTTTTTGAATAATAGCGTACCATGTGATCTGCTCCTGTTTTGGAGAGAAGGCTCAATTTTATCTTTTAGACCATGCTTCAAGGAAACCTGGTGGGAAAAAAAAAAAAAAAAAGATCATACCAAAACATACAATGGCATGAAGTTTTTTTCTGGAACTAAACCCGTGAAACTGTTTTGAAATGCCTTGTTCAACAAAGGTACTGCATGCATGTGCAATATAAGTGGATGTAAGGAACCTGGTAGGTAATTTGCCTTCTGTATAGAAGCAGAGATGTCTACTGATCAAGTGCGTAGCATTTTCCCTTCTGTTTCCTCATATATTTTATTTCTGTATGTGGCAAGAGACAGGCTCACCAATTACTTTTCTGAAACAAAATAGAACTAAAAGACCTCCAAGCTACAAAGTCAGCTTGTGCTCTTAAATATCCAGCATTTTGCCTATACTGAGTTATCAATCTACACCGTCTTGGGTACACAGAAATTGGTATCTGAGTGCTAACAAATGTAGAAGTGCCTGACAGAAAGAGAAAAATATTACACTGCAATTGTTGTTCAGTTTTGTAGTAATTAACTAGAAAGATGTCTCTTAAAAATTTTTACAGCTTACTGGCTGGTGTATACCTGTAGTGAAAAGACATTAATAGGTTCTCTTTTTTTACTTGTGCAAGGCTTAAGTTTAACAGCTTGCACCTTCAGACTGCTGAAACCCTAGTGAGTCTAGAGAGGCAAAGTATCTCAGGTGTTACACTCCTGCAAAATTCACTTGTTGTAAAGTTAAATGGGTTCTTAATACTAACAATTATTTGCAAGGGTGTTGAAAATGCACCTGACCTCATGGCTCCTATTGCAAAGCCCTTCTTATTGCACCTATACATTGCACTGCACACTTCATGTAAGCTGGGCTGTCAGTCTGTCTCTTTATGCCCTTCCAGAAAATGCTGGGTTTCTTGGGTCACTCCTTTAGGTGATTTTCAAGTCAATCTCCCATTTGTGCTCCTGCTGCTGATGGGGAATCTGCTGCCATGCTTTTACTGCCTTCTCCTCATGTTAACTCCTATCAGCCATATTTCTTTTTACCCTCCTGAGTAGAGGCAGTTGATGGCAAAAGCTTTTATTTTCTTTCTAGTCCCTATCTTCATATTCTTTTGCATGTAGCTTGTCCACTTCTATTACATAGCTGTCTTCTAAAGCTTAGCCTCTTCTGCTATCTTTAATGTATAACCATTCCAAATGACCTGCATCCCATTGCAACTTGAATATTACACTGCTGGATTAAGGGGCTTTAATGAGTTCATGGAATCATATTGTCTTGTGAATAATTTATTTTAATTGGAATCCATGACAGAAGATGCACACTGAGCAGCTCATGTTGATTTTTCTGTTGACTTTGAAGCCTCCATTTGCAATCTACTTAACTGTTCTTTTTTGTTTACAGCAGTGCTGAAGAAACTTATGCACTGGGTATAGCCAAAAGGCCTTTTAAATGTTACACATTTTAGGAATATGCATTAAAATATTTCTTTGAAAATTCGGAAATAATTTTCTAGAGTGGGAGATGATGCCAAAATATTTGAAGACTTGTCAGGTCAACCTCAACTTCTTAATTTCACAAAATTGGTTCTCAATTGGCCTGTATAAATTCTACACTGTTTTTAGAGCCAGCTCTAAAATGTATGAGTGTTACTACCTAGATGCCCTCATAGATTCAGTTGCAAATTACAGCTCAAGGGAAAAAGAGATAAAGGCTCATGGAGTAAAATCATTATGTTGGGTGCACCTGTTGAACTTCACTTGTAGAAAGCCAAATTCAATACTGTTTTGACCACAGATTCAGGATTGCAAATACATAACAGCTGAAAAAAGGTGAGGGACAGCTTAAATTAGGAGCTAAAGCTTTATAAGATATAAGATACCAAGTATTAGATAATAGCAAATACTGCAAGTTAGGATTGAAGTTTAATATCAGAATTGGGCTATGAGTGGAGTAGCTGTACCACAGGGAGTAAGGACAGATGAAACTGAGGAGCATTGGTAAGCAAGCCTGGAGATTCCAGAACTTGATAAGCAGGAGGCAACAGATGAGAACTGAAGCACTGCAGCAGATGGAGGTAGGGGAAGAGCCTCCGGACTCCTGACCAGAAGACCAGAGATTGCTGTGAATTTGTTTAAGATGCATTATTAGAAAGTACAGTTTTGTAACACCTGCAAGTGAGAAGTACCAGCTGCTAGAGCTTACATTTAAAGTTTCAAATTTAAGATTTTGAATCCATTCTTTGTGATGGAAGAGGAGGTGATTTCAGTCTTAAAATTGTTAAACTTGTTGTTGCTGCTCTTGTCTAGTAGCAACAATGGAATACAGAACCTTGCATGATCTTACTTTTTTTTTTTTAATTTCTTTTTTTTTTTTGTAAAGCTACACGATCTTACTTTTTTTTTTTTTAATTTTCTTTTTTTTTTGTAAAGCTACCTAAAAATAGAAATAGAAAACCTAACTTTAGCTTTTACTGTCCATGTTTGGAAAGTTTGGTCAAAGACCTATGGCAGAACTGTGCGATATCCTCTGAACTAAAATAGCTGTCTGTTAGAGTGCTAGAACTGCTCCTTTCTCTTACAGAGGGAATAGTTCATACATAGTTTACATCTGCTCCAGTATCCACAAGCAGTAAAATCATCCATAGTTCTTATTTTAAAAACAAAAAAAGTAGTTGTTAAATGTCCCTGTTTTAACAAAAAAACAAGATGCAAGATTTTTGACAGATGTGACATTAACTACTTATGAAATAGTACCATGTAGGCTTCTCTTTGGTGTCATTCCAGATGAAAACATATGGAAAAGGTTTTAAATTATTATTTTAAAAGCAATAATTTTTATCACAAACCTGGATAAGGTTTTTCACCCCAAGTAATTTATAGATATCAGCTGATGGACAACTACTCATAACATTATTTTCTCATGTTTGTTGGTATCAGTTTTCTGTGAATAAAAGATAGTCTAACCATCCTTGGGAAATTTATCACTCTGGTTTTTTGTTGTGGATTTATTTGTAATGTGTGTTATACACAATGTGGAGTAATAGAGTTTGTTTAAACTGACCAGTACTGCTCCACTGTGGATGCCATAGGACAGAAAGAGAGGAACAGCAAGTGTTTCCCACAGGGGTTGGTGAGAATTTTTAGGGAGTTGTAAAGATGTGATAACTTTTTAAAGTATAAACAATCTGTAGGTGGTGTTTTTCTACTTCGTCTCTCTCTTCTTCTCAAGGATGGTGTGTGAGGAAGATGTTTTTGTTAGTTAGCCAATCAAATGGAAACTATCTTATCACTCTATAAAAACCGCGGGGTTCTCTTGAATAAAACCTTCTTTGCTCTTTCTACAATACTGCCTCCCGCCTGTTCCTGTCATTCTCGGTACAAGAGTGACACTCCACAATCTTCTATTTTATGCTCTGAATATAAGACAGACCAAATAAGACACTTTACAAAAGACTTCTGTAGTTTGCTTATGTGTGAAGGCTGTGCCTGGCTTGCTTGCTACCCGTCTCTTTTAGACTGCCAGCTATTAGATTTCACCAAGGAAAGGATCTTGTTTCAGCTATTCTGTGAATGCTATTTCAGTTGTAACAATTGTGATTAAGCTCTTTTCAGAACAGAAGGAAACAGTCTCTTCCTCACTGGCTATGCAGCCCTTTTCTCACTAGAATAGCATTTAGGACATTAGCAACCTTCAGTATTAATGTACGCTAGTCAGCTAAATAAAGCTTATCTTGTATAATGGATTTTAGACCACCTAACATTTCAGTTACCTGATATGCTGATTTTTGTACTTAATCCCATGACATTTTCTGCAAGAATTGGATCACAACATAAAAAGCCATTTCAAATAGATAAGTCAGTCACCATATTTTTTTCTTTCTCCTGCTCTCAAAATGTTTCCATTAATTTACTATAGGTATTTGTGAATTTATTTGGAAAATATTTTCACTATATGAATATCTTGTGAACAGTTTGTTGTGAATATTTATTATCTAATATCTACATTAATTCACTGTTGGTTAGTCATTCAACACTGAGTTTCTTTGCATCTTACAGAGACCTTTCACATTCAAAGTATTGTGAAAAATCAGACTCAACATACATTTTGCTACTACTTAAGATTTTGCTTAAATTCTTTATGGCAAATGAAAGTAAACCTTGATTATTTCAGAGCTCAGGTAAACATCAGAAGCACTTTTCTTATTGCTCAGGCAACTCAAGTAATTGCAATCTTCTGACCCAGATTCTCCCTGCAGACTCAGGTCAGTACAACCTTCTTCACTTGGTCTTTTACATTGCTGTGCAAAGTCCCTATGGGCTGTGAAGGAGTTGTCACAGTCCACTCCAGAAACGGCTTCATTGCACAAAACACATTTATTAAATCCTTTGGGATCCTTCCATCTAGGGCCCTGAGATGTAAGGTTTCTTTCACATGCTTTGTAACTAAAGAATACAGCCAAGCACTATAAAGCCTAAGAAGGTATTACTTCAAATCAGACATTTCCAGATGAATTTATGCAGTTAAAGAGAATAGCTTTATTTGTGTATCTTTGTGTCACCTTCTGGTTTCTGTAAAGTCAGTGACAGCCATATATTTAATACTTACTCAAATAAATAGGGCTTCAAATTGTTGCATGATAATTTTGGCTCTATCTTGTCAGTGCTTCTCTGTTGTCCTAACTGCAAACACCACAATTCTATCACTACAAGGCGTTGTGAGGATTATGTAATTGTTTAGAAAATACTTTGAGATAATCAAGTGAAAGACAGTTACAGGAGTGCAAGGCATTTTAATATGGTTTCTCTAAATACTGGTCATGGACAGAGGCTATGCCCTAATAATAATTTTTCATGGACAATATCTTGAATAAACTTTAATTAAATCTACTTTGACTTTTAATTGAATTGCTGGTATCTGAAAAAAAGTTTGTATTTAGGGACTGTAGGTGGGATATCCAGTGATGGTATCCAGATAGCTGTGAAGATATGGTACAACAGACTCTGTAGTGATGATCCTCCTTGTATCCAAGGTGGCCAAAGTCATTACTGCCAGCCAGCACTGCTGGCTTATCTCTGTGCAGTTAAGAAACCTTTCTCTTGGGACAGGAATGTGAAATTAGCAATGCCTTGGAGTTGCTTTCTAGATGTTGGAGGAACCAATAGGGAGGGCAGAGTAAGGAATTTGGCAGCAAAGGGGAGGGAGCAGAGTACTGAAGGGGAAGACTATGGTGTTTGCATTTTCAGTGGAAGCCTTCTAGAAAATAATAAGTGAGAGAAACAAAGCCATCTTTACTTTTGAAGTCTGAAGTATCTCAGGATACTGAAGGGTGCTCAGGCACCCTGAGAACAAATTTTCTGCATGCAAAATGAAATGTGGAGCTATTGATTACTTCACATCTAAAATTTTGTCAGCAAAAGCATCAGAGAATAAATATATCAGTACTCTTGTAAAGTCACTAAGCATTTTGTATTTATGAATGAAGTCTCTTTTGATGTTCTCAGCTGATATATTCACTGCCTTTTATTGTCATATAGGAAGATTATGCCAATTATGAATCAACCTGCATCTCATCCATCTGCAGGACATCACAGCATCTTGCCAAGATGCATCTGACACACACAAACATGTGATTTCCCTTGCTTTGGTTGTTTTACTATTTATTACACGACTGCGGTAGCAATTTTTCCCTCTGACTTACTTTTTATCTATAACCATTGGGTATTCTCACAGATATTGCTTATTGCTGCTGCTGCTTCGCTTTAATAGTCTTTGAGGGTTAAAAGAGGGACTGAAGAAGATACCAGAGCAACTTATGTTCTCTTGGTAGATTTTTTTTCTGTGTGAGGACATCCATGGCCCTTTTAGAAGATATTCAGGTGACTCATGTTACTTAGTAGACAGAGAACAATATGGTGGAAATTTTTACTGAGGTTTTTGCATATTAAGATTTTCACTGGGAGTCTTTCTGCGATCCTGCAGTCTTTTTTACACTTAGATTCCCCCCAGATATTTCTTCATGCCCTTGAGTCTGAATGTGTCCAGTGTTGGGGGATTTTCATAGGACACCCCCATGAGGAACTGACATCCAGAAGTTGACTCTCCAGTTATTAAACATTAATACACAGTGTTCAATACATCTATAGCTCACTTATACAGCATTTGTATACCCCTTATTATGGATACTTTATGCAATATCACTCCCACACCACCACTTCCAGTGCTGCCTCAAATTAAGTTTTGATTGCCAGTCCCAGACAACATACTGCCTTTGAGAACAAATGCAAAGATGTGTCAGTGTTTGACGACTTTTTCTTAAACACACCTCTGTTTCCATTTTGTTTTTATCCATGCAGTTTAATTCCCTTATTACAATTACCTGTTTTCCCCAGCCTTTTTGTTTCTCCACATACAGAAACTCAGAAGAGCTGCAGCAGACTGCTAGAACATTTTGTCCTGGGGCAATTTCATCCAAGCACTTGATATTGCTGGGCAGTTTGGAGTTGTAATTTGAGAGGACCACCCTTACATTTCTTGAGTGGATGAGGAGACATGAGACATTCCCATCAGCCTCTGTGTGAGAGACAAGCTCAGATAAGAAGGAAGAAAGCTGGCAGCCAAGTTAGTGTGTCTCGTCAAGTTTCCCTATGGGAGCCTATCAGTGTCAGCTTGTGCACAGAAATAGAAACCCCTTGGTAAACTAAATCTATTAAAACAAAGTAGGTAACAAGTAAGGGGCACACTTAACCTTCTAAACCTACTATTCCTCAATTTTAGCTCAGTCTATTTTGAACGAAGCATTGTTTTTCAATGTTTCCATTAACTGAACAACTGTGTAATTTATTAAGCTAAGAAAAATAGTTGAGGTGAAGATTTAAACAGTTTAAGAGCTGCAAGTAGTGGAAACATTACAAACTGGGAAAAGCAGAAGAGAAAAACTAAAAAGATAATAAAATGGAAACAAGACACACATACCACTCATTTTCTGCTTCTATACTGAATAGCTTTCCCTAATTCCTTTATCTTTGTTTGAAGAATTGCAGTCCATCTGGAAGAGAGGTGTATCTTCTCTTTTTGTGGCTGATGTAGTAAGAAAAAATTTTAAGCCAACATCAATATTTTACAAATTTGAACTAAGACAGCGTGTGCCTCCATAGCTCCAACTCTTGTTGCTTTTACCAGAATATGTGTAAGTTATTTTAGAATGTTTTATGGCCAATGATTTTATTTACATAAGAGCCTGTGCAGTTACTGATGCTTGGTCTGATCTGGTTTCTTGGGCTCTGTGCATGTTGACTGAAGGGGAGAGACAACCAGTAGGCAGTTATTGGCAACAAAACAGGAGCAAGGAATCCTTCTAAGGTTGTTAGTGAAAAAGATGCACTCTTGAGCCTCTGGAGGCCGTGTCCAGCTGACCACACTGTGGGTAGAGACAGCAGCTATATATAGGTGTGGCCTGAGACTGCAGGGGACACACACAGGCACAGCGGTGCTCCTCACAAGCCAAATAAAGCTGCTGCTGCCTGTGTGAATCAGCTGGTGAGTCAGCAAAGCCTTTGCCAGGAGAACAGCAGGCACAGAAAAAGGGATGCTAACTGGGTTTCCTAAGTAATAGCTTTTTGTTGTGTCTTTTGGGTCGCAGAAAGTGAAGAAATGTGCACAGTCTGCTGTTTCACAGAGTGATTTCACATTTAGCCTGGTAAGTTCTTCAAAAACATGAGGAAAAACAAATGACTGAGAAATGTTGCAGAGCTATTAGGAATGTCTAAAGGCATCTGAATAGTGCCAGACATGTAAGGTTAGATGTGTTTGGCTTTTGAAATTCAGAAACTGTTGTCAGAGAGACATAGGAGAATCAACTAAAGTGTTCTGAAAGTATCTACATCCAGGGCAGATGAGAGAACTGACAGCTAAGAACAGATTTAGGTGAGAAAGTTGGTTTTGGGGAAAGCAGCATTTTTTCCCAAGGCAGATGGTCATGATACCGGTTTTTCTTTATGGTCAGTTGGTCATGATGCAAGGCCAGTAGGGTTCACCATGTAGTTATGTCTGGGTTTGGCAGGTGCAGAGGTGGAGGAGCTTGCCTTGAAACGTGCAAGGTAAAGAGGAAGCAAGGACAGGTGTGTGGGACATGGCAGCTTCTGCAGCCAGGATGTGCATTTCACTGGGGAGCACAGCTTCCTGGAACCAGGGCAAGGGCAAGCAAGCAAGCCTACAGATCTGAGAAAGGATTATAGCCATAACTGGTAAAGAAACACTGATGTGAATGAGTGGGTTCTTAAATATGTGTGTGAGAGTAGGAAACACTGTTTCACTCTCTCTCATGCACATATCTTCCTGTAGTATCTCATGCACACCTCTGCATGGAATAAAAACATACCCAAGAAAAATCAGAAGAGAACTATGCATCTTAACTGTGCTTGCTCAGTCTTCTGATTTGATGGTATGTATGCAGCTCCTTTGCAATATGGCTTAGGACCTTTGTTCTCTTTGATTTAGCAATACTGAAATAATTTCCCAGTTTACACTACCTCAGCTGCTGAGAGGTGGAAGTGATATTGGTAACTGACATTCATCCTCAGAGACAACCGTATGACCATAAAAGCAGAGCCATTCCTTCTGCAAACATCTGCTGCCCTAGCAGACCTCTCATCTATTGTATCCTCACAGCTTTGATTCTAACAGGAACTCAGAAATTAAAAAAAAAATCAAATAATTCATTTTCATAGTGATCCACAAAAATAATTTTAAAAATATGAGCTGTGCTGTTGTAGTTAAATGTCTGACTACAACAGCTCTCCTGGTGACCAGTCTAGAGCCCATGGCTGTACAGAGCAGAGTGATTCCCCTGGCTCTTGATCCCCTTTTTCCTCTTTGCTGTTCCTGGGAAAGCAGCTAGAGAGCAGGCAATGGTGGCTGGCAGTGGCCACCTGCTCTCAGCTGTTATTCTGCCAGGATGCCCAGCTGCTTTCCCCAGCACACGGGACTCACTGTGCATGAGCTGAGTAGTACATGAGCACAGCTTGTCCTCTGCCTCCTAGATCAGATAGTGGCAAGTAATTGCACAAAAAGGACAGATATTCAGTAGTACATGAGCACAGCTTGTCCTCTGCCTCCTAGATCAGATAGTGGCAGGACAGGTATTCGCAAAACCTCCTCTCACACCTCTTTTCCTTGGTCTGGGCAGGGCAGATTTGTTGAGGACATACGCAGTAATGGGCACTTGTACCAAAAGCAGTGGACACAGTCCCCATGTGGCAAGCTCAGGCACATGGTAGAGGGGCCCAGTATGCATAAGGTCCATGGTCCTGGATGCTCCCGGGTAAATAGTCTACATAGGTTAACAGAAAGCTAATAATTTTGCTCTTTCTGTGGCGGTGGTTGCAGAAAAATTGTCTTGCTTATTTCTTGAGTCATGTCATTAGCAAGTATTTGAGTGTTAGCAGCCATGTACTGAGAGCCTTCTCAACCTCATTAAATTAGACCTAGGACTTGCATAAACATTTGGGTTTACGAAGGCACAAGAGCTTTAGTTGGCTGCAAAGTGGTAAATTAATTCAAAGCTGAAACTACCTTTCAGCTGCAGACAGTGTCATTTACATTCAAAAACAATGTTGTAAATAACACTCTTCCAATGTTCTTTACGAGCAAATGTGTGATGTTGTGATGTTACTTTAACTGAAAATTTGGGAAGCCTGCCCAACATGAAGCAGCAAACCATTTCTGTCTGAAATAGATTATCCTTTAAAGCTCTGAAGATTGGAAAGAGATTTATTTTCTCTTGAACAGCTGCTACAAACAACATAGATGGCAAAAAATTACTTCTTTATTTTTGGAAGAAAATTATTACTAAACAGTCACAGGCTTGAAAAAATAGAACCAAGATCTCCAAGTATTTGAATTCTCTGACCTGAATGATGTAATTTTTCTTAATTCTGGTAAATGCTTTAATAGCATTATTATTATTTAAACAAAAGTCTTAAGATTTTGAGTTTTTCTGCCTGCTGACTTGTAAAAGGGATGATGTTTTATTTGGCTTTGAGGATTTAAAGAACACAACAAAAGCCTTGTACAAATTCTGCAGAGCAACTAAGAGATACCTAAGCCTGAGCTTGGAAAAGGTGTGGGAAGTGGATGACAGTTGAACAAACAGCTCTTAAACTATTTTGCATGAGGAAGCAGATAAGAGCAGTTAAAGGTGGCAGGGGATTGCTGCTGAGATTGTGAGGTAGGAGAGGTCTGAGATAAAGGACACAGATATGAGAATACTGACAGTAGATATCCAAACTGTTCATTATCCTTGGACTAGAAGTCCAGCTATCAGCTGTCCATGGACAGTCTACCTGAACTGCTGTTTAAACTGGAGATTCAGAGGTGCCACAGCAGTTTGCAGGCAGAGCTGGCCCAGGTCCCCAGGGTGGATTAGCTCCCACCAGCACCACAGAAGCACAGCACAGCTGTGGCCCATGCTCTGTGTTTGATGAGTATCACTTAGTGACTGCATGGCACAGATTAAATCCATTTCTCCTGCACAATATGTAACCATGGGGCTCTTTCTTCAGCTTATTTCCACTGCACTTTACTTTCTTTCTCTAACAAGGCAGCCACGCTGTCCCCCAGACAGTGCTTACCCTGCTACATACTGCATCATCTCCAGAGCAAAAGTGCCTGGGGAGGAAAAACTAGGCATAAATTAATTTTATGCCATTTATTTTCTAGATGCATATTTGCATGTTTTATGTATAGATGAAGTGAACTTTATAAGGGATTTAATGCAATGCCTGTGGCCCAGCTCTTGGAAAAAGCTGAAGTGACTGGCTGAAGCATGCATTCAGGATCTGCATTTACGAGTTTGCAGTTTCAGGCTGGCCTCAGTCATATCTGGAGAACAGCATGTGTTCCAGATACTGTCAAAGGCAGCAAACTGCTGAAAAAATCCTGCCAAAGCAACAGCTGAAGCAATGAGAGCTTTCAGTTTCTTACAACTCCATTTAACTGTGTGCTTAAGAGCAACTCATTAAGTAGCAAGCAACCGTGTGAGGGGATGCCAAAGATTAAAGGAATCCTGTCATGAGATAGTGGTGACATTTGCCTGCTGCTTTCCAAGTGACAGTGCTTGCCAAGCCCGGGGGAAGCCAGTGACAGCCCACAGCAGAGCATCAATTTAAGCAGCAGATTGGCAGGAACGGTGCCTGCTTTGAATATGAATGCTTGAGCCACGCTCGTGGTAGGTCCAATTTGTGAATCCTGTCAGGAGAAAGAGTGCTACAGAAACCAATTACCTTTTACACACATTTTCATGTGTGTGTAAGCATCCAGGTGGATCTAGCTCAAGCAAGTCTCTTGAACTGATAAATCAGTGCCTGCAGTGGCAAGCACAAAGGCACAGGGGCTATTGTGCCACTGACTCAGCAGTGAACACAGGGAACAATGCTCTTCCACTTCAAGAGTCCCTATGACTGTTGTGACCTCATGGAAACAAAGAGCAGCTCTGAATTTCCCACCTCGGGGCGTCAGAAGGCATTCAAGACACCAGCAGACTCATCAGGACATCTTCAGCCCTCTGAGTGGCTTCCCTGAGCTCTCTGAAGCCCAGAAATCCCAGGCTTCACTACCTGTGCACCTGTGTGACTTTGCAGAAGCATATTGATGTCTGTGGAGTGCACTGGCCATTCCAACGATCCTGCAGGCTTGGTAATCACCTCTCATCCAGGAAGACTGAGAGCACTGAAATGGACTTTAGCACAATTATAAAAATTTTTCACGAGGTTTCTTTTTGTGGTTGTTCTTTTGGTTGCTTATTTTTTTTATTCCCCCTGAAGTACTGTGCTGCTACTACACAGAAAAGCCTTGCTGAATTTATAAGAAAAATGCCTACTGATGTTTCTTACAGTTAGCCTCAGGAAAGTGGAGCTTTTTTAGTGTTCTTATTGAGATGTACTGCTCCAGAGAAATAACCTGGAAAGGCCATGAATGCTATGCAACTACTTACATCAAAGAGCAACACTTCAATTAATAAATCCCTATTAACATCTCTAATTCTAATAACTTCCCAACATTCATAGAAATCCCAAGCCTTCTCCTCCAGTTACTGTTTTTATGTACTCTCAGTTATTTTTAGGAATTTCAAATGTTCAGTCCCAAAGTCCCAACATTTTGTAAAAAGTCCTTGTTCTTGCTTTGTGCAGCAGAAGGTATTAATTTAGCTTAGAGCAAGAAATCTTGTGAAGAACTGTAGGCTGGAAAATAAAACCAAATTGCACGTTTGCTCAGAAAAGGGTAACAAGGTCTTTGGAGATTATACTACCACCTAGAGAGTGAAAGCAGCTACTTGAAACAGTATGTACATAGCACAACTACAAACTCCATTTTTTTTTTCTTCCTGGTACCTATTTTTCCTCTAACTTCTCTATCCTGTTTCTTACATCTTTGCCTTGTATTCTTAATGTAAAGATGTGCCCAGTGATGTTATGGAATTGTATAAGCTAAAGTAGTTGCTAGAGAACAAGCAAGGAGAGGTAGTTTCCAACTTCCACAGCTTTGTGTTCTGAAGTCTCTAAAGCCCTTGTTTTGTTTTTTCAGCTGGTTGATATAGATGTATTGAGCTTTACTTGGATTTTTCTGCATATATCAGAGATAAGAAAAAAGAACACATTTATCCTGTAAGAGCAAGAAAGAATTTTCTCTCCCTCTGTAGCAGCATTAGCATTACTTGGGTTTTAAAGAAATCCCAGAATATTGTTTTGGTTGCTCAGATAAGAATGATTTATCTTCTTAGATAATGACAAAAGTCTATGTATAGTGTTGGTCTAGAGAGCACTCTTCTGGAAATGGGAGACAACTCATCTTCTGGGTGACAAGCAAAACTAATATGGCTTCCAGAGTAATAATTCCCTTCAATTTTACATAAGAGAGAAGGCAGTTTGTGATTTGTTTTTCCATTTGCCATAAATTTCATTTGACTGAGAATGGCTCATGGTCACTTGTCCCAAGATAGCACTGAATTTGTATAATTACTCACAACAGCACTCCAGCTGACAAATTGAAGCCAAATTGAAGCTGTATTTCAGCTGCACTTCAGTAGTGGTTTTTATTCCCATTCAGGAATTAACCCCATCTGTCTTCATGCAGCACTTCAGTGAAGGCACAAGATGACTGCAGGATCAAGATAAATACACTGTACATCCAATCTCTTTTCAAACACTTCTGAGTGTAATTGCAACACATCCATCTTTGATTGCAAATTCACCAGGCATCTAAACACACATAATGGCAAGCACATAACTTTTTTCAAGAATGTTTTACTTACCTTTATTAGAGACAAACTGGTCTGGCCTTGCTTTGGACTCAGGTAACATTTTATGATGAAGGCTCAGTAACATTCCTGCACTTATTTCAATCATTTCAGGACTCTTGACAATATTTCACAGAATCACAGAATGGTTGGGTTGGAAGAGACAAAAGTGATTCATCTGTCCCAGCCTCCCTGCTCAAGCAGGATCATCCTAAAGCACATTGCACATGATTGTATCTGGATGGTTCTCGAGTATCTCCAGTGAGGGGGACTCCGCAACCTCTCTGGGCAATCTGCTTCAGTGCTTAGTTGCCCATACATGAAAGTGCAGGACCCTGCACTTGCCTTTGCTGAATCCCAGGCAGTTTCTTCTCTGCCCATCTCTCCAGCCTGCTGAGGTCCTTCTGAAGGGCTGCACAGCCCTCTGGGGTATTGGCCACTGCTCCCAGCTTTGTGTGCTCAGTGACATTGCTGAGGATGCATCTGCTCTTCATCTAAGTCATCATTGATTAATTCCAGTAAACAGAGAAGAATTATGAGGTTTGTTATGAAGTTTGTCCAGCAGTTCAAGATTGCAGTGTCTAGTGATTACATCACACAGATTTAGAGTGGGAAATTACTCCTTAACATGAGCTTCTAAAGCCTTTTTAATTTCAAATGTTCTTATAGCTCAAGTTTGTCACAGTCAAAAGCTGCTGTTGTTTATAAAATTATAAAAATAAATTTAAATATTAAATAAAGCTATTTCAAGAAGAAAAACACAGTTATGAAAGAAAAATTTGGAGGTGAGAATTGCTTTCTAATTCTGTCTTCAGTTCAAGGAAAGAGAAATCTTTTTCTTCCTATCCTGAACAATTATCTCTGATGTGAAAGTGTGCTAATACTGAATGTGCAATAGATGGAGAATCCTTTCAGAAAATATTGGGAGGAGACACAAAATGACCTGAAACTGAACTCCTCAAATAAAAAGCAAAACAGTCTCTTAGATGCCAAGAAGTCCACAGGGAGTCAGTAGTTCATTTGTCTTCTGTGCTTGTTGTTCAAGATAGGAAAAATGGGATCTCTTCAACCATCACTTCCATGGTATAAAAACAGATACAAAGCTAGAAGTGCTCTTAATTGCCACACAAGTGGGACCTCTCCATCATTTATTACATCTTCATAAGTCAGACACAATGGGGTCAATTTGCAACCCATACTCATCCAAGTGTTTGACCTCATAACTTTTCATTTCTTTTATGACTGCCTAGAAAAACCCTGACAAGTAAGTTTTGCCAATTTCTGTAATCCCAGGGTTTGAAGGACTTCATGCCTAGCATCTTTAACTCTCTGCTACATCTGGTAGTCCTGAACTGTGCTGCTGAGTCTGCCCCAGGCCCAGTGATCTTTGTGCCTTTTCAGTATGCACAGTTGTTCATCTCATTCTAGTATCCTACAGGTTCACACCTAACTCCATAACCGATTTCTGTGCAACTTCAACATCAAATACCCAAAACATCCTTTTTCCCTACAATTATCAAGTTTCCTCTGCCTCAACATGATCACAGCTGCAATTCTCACGCCAGTGTTTTCAATTTCTTTTGTTATAGGTACTATAAGTTGCATCTTGCTTTATGCACTACCAGTATCAACCTTTCTAGTAAGCTGGACTTAGATTAGCTCACCTAAGTATCTAAGTATCTAAGAAATACTGCCTTACAGGGTCTACTTCAGTCAATTCTTCTCCCTCCTTCTACCCATATTCTTCTTCATGATGCAATATGCTTTCCTTAAAATACGTGGTACAATTTCATGAGCACTTGCAAGACTTGAATTAGCTGCTGGGCAGTACAATACATTGCTTATTAACATTTACATGTTAATAAGCAATCACGTCTTCCATTGTGGAAAAGGAGGTGGGAAAAATTAATGTTTGATCAGATTTACAAGGTTTCATATTGACCTGGTCTAGTGGTAGTGGTCTATTTTGTAGTACTAGAAATAAATTTACAGGAGGGATGCACCTTATAAAGGGGGAAATAGAATAACACATGGCAATTTCATTATGACTACAGATGGAAAGAATCCATTTGAAATATATTTTGAAACTTTGGTTTGGAGATGTTTGGCCTTTGGAGGCTATGCAAGGACAGTACACAGCAAAAAGCCATCACTATGGAGTCTGACACATCTGATGGGCAAGTTTCTGGAGAATGTTCTGTTTGTGACAAGCTTAGCAATAAAGCATGGACATGACATCAAGTCCTACCCCTGCAGATGGCAGCAGTACTTCAAATTTCAGTTCCACAGCACAGGATGTGGTAGAAGCTGAGTCAGATTTCCAGAGTGAAGGTACTGTTGACTGTCAGGACCCTAAAGTGATGTGTTGTTACTCATCAGCAGGTTACTGATGATTTTTCCAGATGGAAGATGAAAATTTTAATATTTGCCAAGTAGCAGAAAGTTATTCCTGAGCCTTGTGGAACCCCTCTTGGTTCCAAGCATAATCAGCTCTTACCCTGCTTTATCTCAAGTACTGCAGATGTTATTTTGAAACCAATTTATATTCTTCAAGCTAGCAACAGCATTTGACTTTGTTGGCTTGGAGGAGACAGCACAGTAAAAAAAGCAATACTTCAATAATAAATTCAGCTCTAGCAAGATGTTGCTAAAAGAAATCCTTCCAGTGGCAGATAGCTAGCCCTAACTACTGCAGGATGAAGCAGGATGATCAAACAGACCAAGATACCTCTTTATTCATAGTGTACAAAAAAGGTCTGAAGTACTATAATTCAGCCACCTGGAATTTTCAGTGCTCTGCATGGATTCTGAAGGGTTTGAATTTAGATGTAAACAACTTCACCTCACACCCCCAAGATTAATTGTTAACATTAAAACATTGACAGTAAAATTTTTTTTAATGTTAATAAAAATTAACATTAAAAAATTTCAGTTGAAACATCCAATTTTAATTGGGGTTTGAGTAATGTGAGAGATTTATGCAGAGCCATATCCTTATCTGCTGCCAGCACAAGCAAAGGGAAGACCAGCAGTACATACTGGACAACCATTTCAGCAAGGTCCAAACCAGGTACCTGCTCTTGTGTCTGTTGAGTTGTTTGGAAAAAGGACGAGTGAAGAACTGTATTCTCCCTACAACTCTGACAAGCAGCTGCCCAAATGCCCTCAATGTGTATACAACAACACGAGTTCAGCTCCACACCTGCAGCTTCCCAGTCCAAGCCTAAAAGTTCTGCTTAACATTTAAGCCTAGGAAAAAGTCTAACTCCCAACATTCCTACTTCCCAGTGTCTTGTGGAGACTTCACCTGGACAGCGTAGTCTCAAGCACATGAGCCTGTCAGGCAGAGACCCAACATCCTTGTCCTTGTGCCCACCCTGCAGCCAACAAAATGGAAAGATGCCAGCAGGCAAAAATAACACAAATTTCTGCAGTGGTTTTGGAGAAGAACCAAGAACTCCTGCGTGAATTACCTATA